AAACGTTTTAATTAAAAAATAATAATTTTCTCGTTTTTCCTAACGAGTGATGACGTAATAATAAAAGTGTTGAAAATAATATGTTGCCATAGGTATTTTCAGCAATATATAGATAATATAAATATAATGGATAGAAAAACGTTTAAACATACGGAAATCATGGGATTAACATAGTCAAAGCACAATAAAAAGACAAGTTAGGACAACACTTATACAAATGTTCTTGTATATGTAACAAGAGTGTTACAGCAAATAGTCAAATGATGTTGTGCTTCGACTACGTAATATTATAGATACATAAGATATATGCATATACATGGATTTATACGTGTTATATTAGCATGTATGGGTGTATCTGTACAATTATATAAACATTTGCACATATATATCAAAGGGAAGAATATCAATGTACAAGAAGAAAATGAAACATTTAAAGAGGCCTCGGAATCGTGCATTTTTTGTTTCGATCTTCATATAGATATCGAATTTTAACTTTGATTTGAGAAAAACATATTTTTTGCATGAGTTTATATAAATAAAAATTAATATTGTTATATAATTAAATATAAATTTAGTTAAAGCATATTATATGTATAAAACGAAATGTAATTTATTTATCTAACAAAATCGATTAATATTATTTTAATGAAACATTTAAATGTATCGTAAAGGAATAAAATTTTCAAAATTAGGAAACAAATTATATAAAAATATTTTTTTCTCTGTGTAAATATATTTATTTGTATAAACATCTATGTGATGAGAAAAATATTGAAATAACCACTTATCAAATATAATTAGATTATTAATGTTTTATAATAGCAATTGAGTTTCGTAATAAATGATCCATAATAAGATAAATTATATAAGTAATAAATAAATTAAAATAATATACATATAAATATAAAAAAAACAAAAATTAAATGAATTTCAAAGTGATATTGCATATTTCTCATCTTGTTGCGATTTTTGACGTATGTGTATCAACAAGCGTCATAACGTGATAATAAACATCCAGTTCGTGCGCGCGCGCGCGCGCGTGTGTGTGTGTGTGTGTGTGTTTGTGTGCGTTTGTGTATATAAAATATATATGTATACATATATGCTCCAATATGTATAACTGTATATAATTATGTATGTAAATTAAATATATATATATATATATATATATATATATATATATATATATATATATATGTGTGTGTGTGTGTGTGTGTGTGTGTGTATGTATATATAATTGTGCACACGTAAATACATAGAAAGGTATACAAATATCGATAGATACATAGATAATAGATAATAGATATATAACAAATATATAATATATGCATATATAGAAGCATAAATTAATATCCATATATATGTATATATACATATATATCTGTTATAACAGCATAACCAGTCACAAAGTACCTTTTAGTTGATATATCGAGCTTCTCTCTATGCTCAGGCTCAGACTGAAACAGAGATTATGCATAATTCGCGATATTAGTTACACGCATTTTATCCTCTTTCTCTTCTAAGAGTTTTATTTTTTCCTCTCAAAGTATACGGAATAATCTTGCATAGTGATCGTTCTTAAATATATTCAAATTACGAAGTATTCCGTAAAGTATGTAAAAGAAAGAAGTATTTTCATGGAAAACTTTCATTAAAAATAAAGAGCTTTGGTTTAATTTATCGGCATCTGAAACTACTTTTCTAGTTTTATAGAGAAAGAAATGAAAAGTGGTGTAAGATAAACTAAAAAATTGATGGAAAATATAATTTTTAATTAGGCATTAAAATATAAATGCACGAGTGCGTATTTATAAATGTTTATTTGTTGGAAAATGATATATATATTTGAATTATGTTAACTTTAGTTTAATAAGATACATTGATAAATACATGCATCAAATTATGATTAATTTGACGAAAGTTTATTTTTGTATTATTTTTATTGTAAAACAAACCTTTTTATTCGCTAAGTATCTATTTAATCGGTTATTATAATAATTTTACTTGTTAATTTTATCTTAATCCTTTTTTCACTGAATTTTCGCTGATATAGTCAGAAAATTAGATCATAAATTTAGTTTAATTATTTCTTTAGGCACATGTTTGGATGAGCTCAAAATGGGTCTATCTTACACTGGATAATTTTTTTTTTTATAAACGGGTAACACTGACAAACATTAAGAAGTTTAATATATGTTGTTAAATTTTTACCAATAAATGAAAAAAAGATCGTAAAATAATTTTTATATAACATTACGCGTTTATAACATTTGCATCACTATTATATATTTTGTTAGAATAATAACAAATAAGTATTTAATAACGTAGGTTAAGAATTAATGTTTTTAAGCATTTACTTACAAAAGTTGTAGGTATCTAATTCATATTAGCTATAAATTAAAAAGGAGAAGGTCAAGTGTTATGTTTTTAAATAATAGCATATTTTAAATTAAATAATTTAAATTTAATTTAATAATTTTAATTTAAATAATTCTTGATGCATTGTAGATTATGATAATTCATTTGAATTTCTTATAATTAGAATTATAAGTATAATATTTTATTTTATATATTCAAAGCCTTAATGTATTATAAGCTAATCAAAACTATTTTTAATTGGAATTCATTCTACTTCATCGTAATTTCCATCGTTCAACCTATAATAAACCAATACCTCTTGGAATGTATCTGAGCTTCTTTTAAATCCAAAGAATTCAAGTAATTTGGATTTTCCGTGAGTTTCTCAAACTCGACATTCGCGCGCAATGGCTCAATTTCGATCGCGTGCTCGAATAAGTTTTCCATTATCAAGTGGAGCTCTTCTTACCCCTCACTGCCAAAACAACTTCGACGCATGTACGTGTACGAGTTGTCTGTAGGTAAGTGTGTTTGGTAGACTTTTCGTTAGCGAAATTCGCTTGATTAGCGAAAACGACTATGGAAGCAAAGGCGGGTGGAAGAGAAGAGAATGTACAAGATGGGGTGAGACAGAGATGTCTAATAGACGTGGGCTTCGATCGAGCGAAATTTCCGTCTGGAAATATTCGAGGTATTCCATTGTCGGTTTAATCGAGTTGACCCGAATTACGGTTTCGCGAGGAGCGAGAGGCGTGTAATTTTCGTGCGCCGCTCCCAGGATTCGGCATGACACGTCGACCTAAGTGATTTGTACTTCGGCACACTTGGCCCCGTTGCCTTCTTTCCTCATCCCGCTTTTTTCTTCGTCCGAAATAGGAAAACGTATTTATTCGTCGTTGCTTTTTTACTCGTTCAGGTACAATTGCACTCCTCTCGAATGCAGGAAACGAAAATGTATTTTTACGACAAAGTTTACAAATGTATTTCAAAGTAAGAAGTACAAAAATTGGACGGTTGCCCACGCATTGTAAAAAAAAAACCAAATGATACGCAGACTGGTGGAGGAAAAAATAAAAAGAGTATTCCAAGCGCGGCAAATTTTCACAAATTTCACGGTTTGTTGCAGCACGAATGCTTCTCAACGATGTATGTTTTTTAATTACATATATCTATAGGCTAGAAAAAAAAAATAGTAATACCGTAATAGTCATACCTTTAACGAAAGTTATCTATCTATCTATCTATCTATATATATATATATATATATATATATATACATTTATATGACAACTGTTGCATAGATTTACAACTTTGAAATGATTATGACTATTTTTGACGATTAAAGTAAAATTAAATCGTATTCGCATAATATACGTGATACAAAAAAAAATTATTTGATAACAAACAGGCAAAGTAAGGAAAGTCTAAAAGATTCGGAAGCTTCAGCTATATTGAAGCGTTTAAAATCGTAATCACACTAACTTGATACTCGTGTGTCTGAAAATTTATGACTTTCTAAATTATAAATATCATAAATTATTTAAACAACAATTTCATAGTTCATCTTTTAATCATATGAAACATTTTCGTGAAATATATATTGTATTTACTAAATTGTTAGCTCGTAATAAAGCAACATTTCAAAATATCTTCTATTCAAAACAATCTATTTTACAAAATTTAAGCGACAACATTACCGAATGTTATATATGTACATAGATTAAAATATGATTGTTATTGGTTCAAATAATAATTAATGATTGGAAATTAATGTTAATATTCAATTACTCAGTATAAAATATAAATAATGAAAATTTCACATTTTCAATATTATATCAACTAAAATTTTATTTATAATGATCGAACGATTAAGTGATACATAAATTATAAAAATATGAATTTAAACTAATAGTATACTTGGGGCAGACTTAATCTTTCTTCATTTCATATTTTTTTTATCTAATAACTAAAACTTAATCTATTATAATTAATTCTGTATATATAATGTCAACTTAAAATTAATTCAATATATTTAAATGTAAGTTACAAATAAATATAATTTCTTCTAATTTTTATGATTTTATAATTAAACGTTCAAATGAACAACTTACTCGTTACAAAGTATGCGATAAAAAATACAAATCAAATACAATTAAATATTATTAATTCTCGTTCGAAACATAAAAAAAAAAATATCTTAAAAATCCCTTTTTATGTATATTTACGAGTATTATTCACGGGCAACTTTCCAATTTAATTTCTATTAATCTTGTTGAAAATAAATAAAAATAAAGGTTTCGAGAAACTAGAGTGGAAAAAAAAAAATCAAACTTATCAAATCGCACTCAAAATACACTATGATTTAAAATGCAAGTTCATTATATGGATTATATAGTCAATACATCGAATAATATAGAAAATATAAGCTGATTAGATTAAATTACAATAAGATTTCAAAAAATCCCACAGACATCTCATCACTGCGCTTTGAAAAACAGCTGACAAGAGAATAAAAATGGATGTGGAACCTAAATTTGAAATTTCATATCTGTAGCTTAACCAAAACTTGAAAGATTCTGTAAAATTGTCAATACATAAGAGACGGTTAGGATACTTTTGGGCAAATATAATGATCCACATACCCGTTTGTGAGTGCGGCGAGTCCATGCCGCGTCCTCCATTACCCCCGCCGCCGCCATCCTCGGGTCTGAGAACTGGTGAAAAAGTTGGGGCACTCGATACCGAGACCGTCGGAGCCTTGTCAGTCTTGTCGTTGCGTATGAGCTGGTGAACCGGTGGCGGACCTGCGGGAGTCAAAACAATCGTGATTTAACGAGCGAGCACAGGAGTTGCTGGACCGTAATCGAGACTCCTGTTTTTATCCTGTTTTTACCATTTTAATCATCCAGATTTTTCATATGTTTTTGCATTTTCAGAATTAATGATAAAAATTATTGGTTTATAGCTACTAGAACCGGTTACGTTTATTTCAACTTAATATCTTCGTAACTTGAAGTTATGTGTGTATTCGAAGCGCGAAGATACGTGAATTGTGTGAATAATCTCGAGTGGTTTATTGATGGAAAAGTAATAACGGCAGCCTTAAAGTATTTTGAAACTATCTTTTTGTTAGTAAGCGTGCATTAAATACTTACAACCTATACATTAAAGATATCTCTTCATGAAATTAATTACGTCATATCATTAAAAAAAAAAAAGTAATAAAAAAAAACAGCACTATTTTCTGTAATTCGAACCTAACACTTATTTTCACACTTTCACACAATTGTATTTTAAAATAATAATATGCTCAAACTAAAACTTTAATACGATTACAAAGCAAGTGAAATTAATTAAGAAACGAAAATTCAACATTTATAATAAATTGGAAGCATGTATTGTAATAAAACTATACGATGATACAAAATAAAAATATACTTAGGTAAAATCATTAAAAATACGAAAAGTGCATTAACTTTTAATTTTATTATCATTATCTTCAATAAATTTCATAATGATAATATCTTTAGAGAAAATATTTTTATGAATTTAAATTAAAATTATCTCTCATTAGCCTTTTAAAGTAATTTACTAATTTTACAAATTTAAGTATGCAGTCTTAAAATTAAATATTTTTATAGAGAATAAAACGCTGTTATTCTATCACTAAAATACTACAATTTAGTTTTCATCATCAATTTCACCGGGCGATTATTACTTTTCACTTCATTTTCCATAATTACAAGGATTCAATTGCTGGAACGATAAAAATATTCAATATATATACTTTTAATTAGTCTTAATTCAAAATTAATTTTACTCAAAGTAGAAGTAAGGAAAAATTCAACAAGATTCCTCCAAATCCGTGTAAACCCCAAAAATTTAAAGTTGATTCGTAAATAGCGTGGCCTTTGCATGCATCGTTAACTTAGGTTATGAGCCGAGTCTTATGAAACGACGACGTAAATCATGAAATAGTTTGAAAATTCAATATGTGAGTCGAAAATTAGAAATATATTCGAACGTAAATTTTACAAAATATTACGTATGGAAACTTGTTGAGTATATAGTGCAATATACTATATTCACCGATTTTAGTAAGATAAATATCTTATGTCCTCCTCTTAGAGAAAGTGTTAAGATTAAATATTGTAGAACGAGAGAATGGAATTTTTATGATTATTATTATTATTATTATTATTATTATTATTATTATTTTAAAATATATTTAACATAGAGTATAGAATGTATGTAGAAGATTAGATAATATAAGTTATAGAAAAAGAAATCTTACTAAAGATGTTTAGATTTGTTCAAACTATTAGATTTGCATTATTACAATGATAAAAAGTATCACACTTAATTATAAAATTACGTTAAGTATAAAATATTTTTTTTTGAATTTGTTAGTTTAACAAATTCGTAATTTAAATTAAATAAAATTTATTTCATATTTACAACAATTGATATCAAAAATTTAAGAATTCAATTTGAATTTACATATAATTAACAATCTATACTGAAAGAAATGTAGCTATTAAAAGCAAAAAAGACGGAAGGCGTATGATATAATTAACTGTAGGCAGTAAAAGATAATGTTTTTGTAGTTTAATTTAAATAACTTATTGCCTAAAATTTTTTAAATAGGAGTTACTATCTATACTATGAATTGTAATATTGCAATTAATAGAAAGAAAATATGTCATTTGGGATAAAGTAAAATATGTGGATAATCATTCAGGAATATTATAAAAAAAATAGTTTTGAAATATTTAAATAATCACGTGAATTTTCACCAACATCCATATGCAGCACAACTGCTGCTAAATTATTATTTACGATTATTATGTTACATTACATATAATGAAAACAATGTGGAACAATAATGTGTGAGAATTATTATAAGTTACTCCAGTAATACTTAGTGGCTATCTGGACTCGTAAAGTACTTTATTCGTACTGTATTGTCTACCTTCATGAACTATCTGCGGAATAACTGTGTCTACTTTATTAGGACAAAGGAGCACCTCGGCAATAAAAAACGTAAAATCTGAAATTATAAGAGCCAAAAAAGTGCTTCCTTATCTTAGTCACGCGCTTCTATAATTACCTAGCAATTAAAGCAATCTTCTCTCTCCCAAAAATGCTGATTCAGCAAGAGATAAAAGAAGAAGTTAAAAAGATGAATGAATTTTTATTATCATGCATGCATTTAACGAAATATAATTTCTACTATCCGATCTCATTTGCTTGGATTTTAATACTGTCTGTTATATTCAAGTCCAATATTATTAAAATAAATAAATAAATAATACTGTTCGTTTAACCTTATCCAGTGTATTTCAAGCATATTTTAGCATTGATTTTGCTAAGATTGATTATAACGCGTTCTGTAAAAACATGTACAAGCAAACTGTTTAATGCGATACCCATTTAACTGCATTGATTGCTATATGAAACAAAGTAACAATTAATATAAATACGCCCGAAAAGTAGCTAATTCAATATTCAATTTACAAGTAAAATCAACGGTCCATTTCTACTCAAAATAAGAGTATCGTTAAAGCAAAAGCCGCGCAAGACGAGGACAGCAAGCCTCGCGATAACGAGCCATCAAATCAGTCGCATGCGGATAAGCGGTGCGAACCGGACTCAACTATCAGCCAATTGCAAGCAGGACCGGGAATTGAAGCCCCTTCTCTCCCCCCCCCCTCTACCTCCTCCCATGTCCCAGCACCATACCCACCAATCCCCCTCATAGACAATTCGCCGACCAAAAACAGCAAGGGTCGCTTTATTAACGTCAACGGGCTGAAAGGATAAGAAAAAAGGGCCGGCTGGCTTTATCCGTGCAAGACTTACTGAAGTTAGCCGCGGGCTGTCCGTGCTCGGCGGCCGTAGCGGCCGACGGTGGTGTATAGCTGCTGCAGTAGTACGGCGGATGCTCTATTTTGATCGCGTTTATTTGAGGCTGCATGTCGCTGAGGTCATGTAGTATGGATGCTGAAACAGAGGAAGAGGAGCGCGCGCGAACGCACGTGTTATACATACGCAATGGGCGTGTGCGACGATCATTTTTATTCTCTGTTACATTTCGCGATGCCTCGCTCCCAAACCCGTGCACCTGCGCGCTCCGCGATATTATGAAAACGGGGGCGTGGCGAAGGGTCGGCGGCGTGGACGCTAGAGGGGGAGGGGAAGACGCGTACACGTGCTCGAGACGCGCGCGACCAGTTGTTTCACGCGTCCGAGGTCCGCGAAATCGAATTAAAGACCCGGATGTATTTGTATCGCGTGTACCTGAAGTTTGGATGGCAACTTGTACGATTGCGTGCGTGTTAGTGAGTGATTCTCGTAATTACGTGGCTGATGGTGTTAGGTTAGTTAATGCAGTAGAGGATAGTAAGGTGCAGTAAGACATGTTTTATCATCTGACTTTTAATTTAAATGTCAATTTCAAAAACATTCTCTTAAGCTAACGTATTGTTAAATATTAACAAATTTATCGGAATTTTTGCATTCTTTGATAATTCCTTTCATTTCTATATTCTTCTATACTTTACATTACAGGTGTATTAATGCCTTATCAAATAACTTTATCAATTATGAAGTTTTCTTAGACTATTCAATTTATTTCAACGGCAATTGCTACAAATAATAACTTCGCTCTTCGTGTAAAATTAAATTTCATTTTTCAGGAATAGAGTGAAATGAGATACTACATACACACACACACACACACACACACACACACACACACACACACACATAATTAATGCAATGGCTTGGAAATGTCATAAAAAGATGTCACTTTTACCACTACTTCATTTAGTAGACATCTGAGTAAATATATATTAATTAATCATGGGCAACGAAATCACGAGAGATGCATCTTATTAAAGGCGCGATAAAAGATTTAGCGATTTGTCAATGCTCGCATAAAGTCCACCAAAACTTTGACTTTTTTATTTAGGTTATGCAAATATTCCATTTAGTGAACAATACATTGCCTCAACTTCTAATTTGAAATTACATCGATTCAAAGTATATTTGTTTGTTTGCACAAGTTTAGCTTTAATATTGTTTTATATTATTCGTAATAGCCTTATATTTTTATTTATTTACAGAAAGTCATACCTCTCTATTATCATAAATTATTTATATAGGGTATTAAAAATAAAGCGTACGATATTATATCATTTCTGTAAAAACCTTTTTCAGTTTTCAATCGATTAAAACAAGCAGATAAATTTATGTGAAAAAAGGTAAAGAAATTAGCATTATTTTTTAAATGATAGATCAATTTTAGTTACTTTTAATTTATTATTGGCGATTTTATTATTAAAAATCTGCGATCATATACTTTATACTTACCAAAATATAATACTTGATTGTTGTTTTATATATTTGAAATTCATTAAATTTGTTAATGATACTTAAAAAAATTCTTTGTTAAAACCTTAAAATTAAATATAATTTCCAAAGTATGGCTTCAGACTATATGTACCAATGTCTATTACATAAATATCTACGAATATATATGTATATATATATATATATTTGCAAATCGGATACTTCGATAAAGTCGATTATATTTATTTACTATTTCAAAATATATATAATATACAAAAAAATTATATTTCAGGATTTAAAAGAAAAACTTTCGAATATGTTATCACTATTGTCTTTGTTATAATTACATAAAATTTTAACTGAAATTAAAAAGACATTTTTATATAAGAAATATTTTCGCTTATCAACAGTAAGTCTCTTTGGATGCGGAAATTTATACTTACTACATTGAAAATTGCATAATTTATTAAACAAGTCACTTGATAACATATACCAAAGTCTTCATTGTTGTTGACCATTAGCCTGGGATGATTTCAAAAGGCATGAATCCACCGATACCTTTCGAAAGCATCCGCGATGGATTATTTTTCTAGCTCTCGATATTGAAAAAAATTAAAAATATCCTTGAAACATTGAAAATAATTATAAAACGGATAATTTTATTCGTAACCAGGAATGGACACTATATTTAATAAATCATAAATGCAATAAATTAAGTGAAAATTAAATTTCCGATATATTTAGTCATGAAGAAGTTAGTATTATTACGAAATTAGGGTATTATTGCAAAATTAAATAAGAATCATTATTTACATAATTACAAATCCATTTAATTACTATTTAGACTATTATTATATTTTTATTTATGACATTAAAATACTTTCTGAATTTTCAATAATTTTATACATTGAATAAAAAAATACAAACAATCTACTAATAAATAACTTTTTAAATGTCATATAAATGTCGTTCACGTAAGGTCCATTCCTGGATCGCGATTACGACTTTAATAACGGGTAAATCAAGCACTAAAGGCGCGCGTGAGTATTTTATAATTCAGCCGACATTCCCGGGTATAAAAGAATTACATTATACGCGACGAAGGAGCGAGGCACTCGAACGCTCAGTAGAGCTTCCACGACGTGATGGGGTGGGCGTAAGCGAAAGAATTGATAGTGCATGAGAGACAGAGATAGAAAGACAAAGAGAGAGAGAGAGAGAGAGAGAGAGAGAGACAAAGAAAGAGAGAGAGAGAGAGAGAGAAAAGAGAGAGAGAGAGAGAGACAAGTGAAGAGAAGTGCGCTCGTCGTACCTTTTGAAAGCATCCAGAGCTCCTTGGAGCTGAAGACGCCAGTCGCGAGGATCGTGTCGTTGCACACGACACCGTTATACAGTTCGTGGTAACCTGCACCTGAGAACAAATACAATCGATAATCGATAAACGATCGCTTCCTTCCTCCTTCCTACTCGCGACTCTTGGCGACTGTATGTATGTAAGTGTCGCGATAGCCGTCGCGATAAGATAAGCTCCGACGACGTTTTGAGATACTTTGCCTGTACAGTCTAAGCCAAAGATGATACGTAAAAGGTCATTTGCTTTTTCGAGGGCGACAGCGAGTTTTTGCGAGCTTTGACGATAAATTTGAAGCTTAGTAAATGAGCCACGACGGAGCTAAATAAAAGAAAATTATGTCTAGAATCTTAATATAGATTGCATATATGCATTGCCACTCTAACTGTTTGCAATACTTATATATTACATTAATATTATTTAAAAAAGAGTTTTTATCGTAAGTAATATAATGATGTAATACAAATTTTATCGTATTCAAAATAATATATTATAAATTATAAATTTACTTTAAGTATATGGCAATAATGAAAATGCCTATAAAACCGAGTAAAGGTAGATATTATATTTCATAGATTCTTGAGTTTTGAATAATTAATATACAAATATTTACTTATAAGGCTTGATCTAAAAATTTTTATATTTCAATACAGACATTTCTTAACTGAGAAAGGTAAAGATGGTACGAGAAAGAGAGCTAAAGAGCGATTCGTTCGAACGATTTTCGTTATATGAGTTGCAGATACGTTTTGCTTGAGGGAAAATCGAAGTGGTAAGGCATGAATGTGACAAGGACAGGACGAGTGGAAGGCGAAACGGAAATTATCGATGGACCTCGGGCAAGTATATAAAAAGTAGAGTGAAGCGCCAACAGCTTTTCGATCTGTTTGCAAAAATATACGCACGGAAAAAACTACGTCGTGAATGTCTCGTGCATTTTCAGTAAATTTGCAGAGGTCAAGATTAGATATGTTTGATTAAGAAATATTACATCGCTTCGAAACTATCGACTGATTTTTATTTTTCGACGCATTATCTCATATTGTTAACGAGAGATTATAATTTTGTACCTTTTCGCCGCCTTTCTTCTTCCTTCGTCGCATTGCAGATACCATTTAGGACTTCTGAAATCATAAATATCAAAAGAAACATAATAAAACATTTCTTTTTTATTTTATATAATATTAATTTTATTAATAATAAATAATTAATATTTTCTTATTAATATGTAAATAAAAACAATTTTTTCATTCATAATTGCCACAAATATTAATTGCAGGAAATTTTATTACAAAATTGTTATTATTCAGACACAATAATCTATTATTATATTATTAAAAAGTAAAGAATATTAAGGATAGTTAATTAATTTTAATCAATATTTATCATTCCTTGAAAATTATATTTATAGATGTAAATATAAAAAGGAAGATTGAATGAATATTATCAGCGAATGATTTCAACTAATCGAGTATCAGAATGAACCAAAGATCAATGAAATAAACTATTTGCTTTAGTCGTTATTATTATCAATTTGAATATTGTGCAACAAGTCTCGGGTACTATTTTTGTAATGTATAAAAGATAATTTCTTATTAGGTGAGCTTCGTGGTAATTTAGTCAATTGATAATTTAGTCCGGAGAAATCGTACTGTAAGAAGGCTAATTGTCCGTAAAGTGTTCTCAAAGAAGTTATGCGCGTAAAATTGACGACAAGCGCGAACGGATGTAAAATGCCGCGAATACACGAACATGGATGGTTATAAATAAGCGGACCAAGACGAGATGATTTTCTACGCATGCGCATAGTGGGCACGTGTACGCAATACGTATGAAAAGCCAATTTTTTCAGAAATTTGGTTTATCGGTTCTACGAGGTGTTACAACTAATGTGCTATTGATATGCAATTTGCGTATCATATTTAGGGTACGAATTTTTATTGCATATGAATAACCTTCAAATGTAGTTACGCATCTTTTATCAAACATTGTCGATCATATCGTACAACTATTTTTTCCTGTTTCAAAAATAATTAATTATTTAGATTAATGAATCCGATAATTACACCTGTAATATATTTTGCATATTTTTCTAGCTAATATTTTATTACTTATTCACAAGAATATGAAAATTTATTCATTAAAATATGTCATTCTATAAAAATAAACTTAAGTTTAAAATAATGTGAATTAAATTAACAAAAATTATGTAGTATTTGATGTATACACGTATAAAAAGTTTGTTTTTCTATAAATTACTTAGAAATATAAAAAATATGTATTATTTTAATCCCAATTTAAATATATTCACATAGATATTTATATAGTATACAGAATATAATACTACCAGTGCTGATCATTATAATACAGTATATATTAATGTATTAATATTAGTAAATATAAAGTAAAATTAGTATATATATTAATATTGAACAATAAATTTTATCACCTTCTATATTTAAAATTTACAAAATATTAAGAATTTGCAATGATTCTATAAATTTAAAGAATAAAACATAATTGAATTAAAATATTAATATAATTAATAGAATAAATAGATGTGATTCAAATGACCTTTGATATTTTTATTCGAACATTACAATAAATTTGTTTAAACAATAAAATATTATAGTAATATAATAATTACTGACTGTAAATTTAATCTAACGATTTTTTTATTAAATCTGAAAAAAATAAATATAAATCATTTTTAGTAATAAAAATTAAGTCGATTTAGTAGTTTCATTTTCAGTAGTAAAAATTAAATTTTTAGTAGTAATTTTTAGTAGTGTTTTATTGGTATATTTACCAGCATATTTTATTTATTGTGGATTGAGTTTTTTACTATAATATTACAAGAGATGGCTTATATATAATATTTAATTGTTGAAATGTATTCAATTAATGAACATATTTCTATTAGAACAACATATAAACAATCAGTATGTTTTAAATATGCACACAATTTTCCGAACTAAAACTATTCTTTTCTTATATCTTTATTTATTACTCCAATAAATAGAACAACAAAATTAGTATTTTATTACCAATAACAATATTTATATTTTATAACTCTTAGAATTTAGTTATAAATTTTTAAAAAATATATTTAATATTAAAGTAACATGTTTAAGTCTTGTAATTGAATCAAGGATTTTTAAAGTATTAATAGAATCGAACTTTATTTAACACAAATATTTTTATAATATATGTAATATGAATGCGAAACAAACGACTACGTATAGTGGTAATATTATAAAGTAAATGTTTCAAAAAACAAGGATAATAAAAATGTATTTTCTATGCATTATAAATAATATACGTATACACTAAAATTTTTCATGTCATAATATAAAGCTTATTTAAGATTTTTGTAAGAAAGAGCTCTAAAATTTTATTTTAAATTATAATTATATTCTTTATTAGAAGACTATGTAGAAGAGTTAAATTAATACCACCGTTGCATTGATTTAATAAACTATTAATTTTAGTCAAAAGTCATTACAGTTTTTAATTAAATCAACTTGTTTTTATTATAATTATTACAAATACTTACATCACAAAGAAACATTAGAGATCCATAAAATTGTCACACGATTTTAATAAAAAAGATTTCATTTCATATATAATTACTCTCAAAACATCTTGCACGGTTTTATAATAAACAAGTTTATGTTATTATTGATAGTAATATTAACAAATTTTATATTTCTATTATTGGTTCTGTAAACAGCTAAAAGTTTTAATTTTAACGTTATGAATATTTATTTAAATGCTCCAAATCAAAGAAACTATATGTTTGGGAAAAAAATATTCATTTTTAAACACAAATATAACCTCTTCATTTGAAATAGACTATGTAATTCTATTTCACAAGAAAACATTAATCTATCCACCTATCTTTTTATTGATCGATTTCTCACTATATTTATCTATCTGTCTATTTACCTATCGGTGCATCACTTATTTATTGCATATTGTCGTTCCTTCAACGCTAATAACAAATATTATACAATGACTTAACGACCTTTATGTACAAATAGATTAGATGTATAGTATACATATATAAATATCGAAGTATCTATGCAAAAAATTGCGTCAAATATCAATGTATGAAAAAAGAATATTTTATCAGCTCGATAGGCAATTCTTTTGTAAAACGTAATTTATATTTAAATTAATTTATATGTTAAAAATATTGATTTTAAAAGATTTATAATGCTACAACTTAGTTAAAAAAAAAAACAATAAAATCAATATCTTTATTGGAATGTAATATGACAAATTTATTATAATAAATCGTACCTTAAATAAATAAGAAAATATGCGCGAAGATTTATTATTGAAACGACTTTTTAAGACATCGATAGAATTGTTATTGAATAACTAAAAGATTACCATTGAATACATTTTAATAAATTCAAAAATATTTTTATATATAAATGTTATTTTAAAATGTTCTATATTCAAATGTCAATTTTATTTGACTGTCACGTAGGTTTAAGAAACAAATAAAGATTACAGATCTTGATATATTATTATTGGGCTTTCAGCAAATGCATGCTTTGTCTACTTTTCAGAAAATCATCATAACTATATAAAGATTCTTATGCAATAAACTTCTTGCCTCGATAAATCTATTGTTATTATTATTTTAAATGTAAGGAGAAACATATTTGTGTAATCGTAATTTTAGTAAATGCAATTATGTACAATGTAAACTAACAATCGATGCAGCTTCACATCTCGATGAACGAAGGGTCAGCAATGGAAGCGTCATCTTTAGTCGCTCACGCAGAGTTTTTATATTGCACGATCTTGCGTAAAGCCCCATTACGCAACATACACGAAAATACTCCACGTGGGTCGAGTCTGAAATGTCCGCTAAGCTCGGACATCATCGCGACGCTCGACGCTGCTTTCTATCGAAACTCATCGCTGACACTGAATTCTCGAAGGCTTGTTGTTTTCCTTTTAAACGAGCGCTCGGGAGTCAAATAGAACGTTATAAATATTTTTAACGACTGTAAACGTATAATTTATATAGGTGAAAGCCAATTTCTTATGACTGCATGCTTCCTAAAGTTATCATTTTCATGAGCTAACGATCCTGCTTGTTATTCTCTACACGTCATGAACATGAAAACTTTGTAGATCCTTAATTTATGAAATTTCGATTTCACCAAAGATCAATCAATGAAGTTTAACTTACTCTTTAGAGTTTTATGCCTGCACTAGTAAGTGTATGCATGTACTGGTGGTATGATTACTCAAGTCTTGTAGGCACATAAAGTTAAAGATTGTCTATCGGTAAGTTTCGCTATGCCGACAAGTTTGACTTACTGAAGCATTTCATAAAATAGAATAATAAAGTATCCTCTGTACGAAAGAATACTTAAAATTTAATAAAATATAATAATATTATATATAATAATATTATACTATACATGCACGAAACTCTTTTCTTTTCGGATATCTTTTATAATTTTTTATTGTTTTAATACATTGAGTAATTTGTATTGTTTAGCTTTCAAATCTTCGACCTTCGATAGTGATTATTAAATTTTGTTTATTCCTACATTATTTTAAATATTTCCTTGTAAATAATAATAAAATTTTTCTTTTATTAATCAAATCATTTAGTAATATTTTGTTAATAAATTTTATTAATCAATAAAATAGATCATAGTATATAATTTTATATATTTAATATGAAATTTTTACTCGAAGTTATATTTTGTTAATCATTAGTCATTAGAATATTGTATAAAAAGTGAGCTTTGTATGAAACAGATATCACAAAAAAATTAATACATATATGTTAAAGTCAATTATTACAATTTTCACAATGCACTTGATATAGTTAATTTATGAGATTTTCCCTTAATTTTCGAGTAGAGCATATGCGAAATATGCCTTGGGATGATTAATGGCTTTCGAAATCATACATTTGCAACGTGGATTATTCGACCAGACAGGGTGCACTACTATACAATAAATTAAAGGCATAAATCTGACGACAAATAGCATTAACAAGAAATAAACGAAAATATTTTAATATTTTAATATTTAGTATAGGGCTTCTAATTGTATATTATAAAAACCCAACTAATGTAATTTAATT